GCATTCGTGAGTTATACTTTTAAGCCAATAGTGAATCTTGAATCTCTATATATAGCACTTTCGATATTTTTTCTTTCGACATTTTTTACTTTCGACGTTTTTTCTTTCGACCAATTCTATGCATACCCAATTTACCACCACACTCACACCCTAGTTTCTACCGATATTAGAAAGCTGTGTTTTTCAAAGTTTTTAACGAGACAAATCAATGGTTCGACACTCGCAGCTTTCGTGTACCACGGTGTTATGAATCAGATGTTTGCAAAATTATATTTCAAGTAATTGATTATGCATATCAGTGTTTGGGATATGTGTGGATAACAGGACTCCTACTCTTGCTCCCACACCTACAACCTCAAAAGGATACTACAAATATTTCTTATAAATCAGATCAGGATAATCTTAGATATGTTTATTCATAAAAAATATGCTTTTATATTTAAACACAGTGTGTCGATGTAAACAACATTATCATAGGTATTATTTTTTTATCGTAAAAAACAAAAGAAAAGGAGAACAAACTACGAAAATACACATGATGATAATTACACTGTATAGAAAAAGCTTATCTGATAAAGGTACTATATTTCGTTGATTCAAATAAATAAATGTAAGTGAGAAAAAAATCAAGCAATTATGATCATAATCAATATACGAAACAGAAGTTAAAAGTATACACACAAACGTCGATATTACTTCCTATGTAAGTATGTTTGTTTTTATTTTCAATATTAAAATGATGCTGAAGATAAATTGTGATTACTAATCATAATACCCAACGGAGCATAGAAAAATAGAATATTTTTATCATGAAAAAGTTTAAGATGAGAATCCTTGGTTTATGTAATCAATCGTCTCAGTTCCAGTGACAACTGATATATGGAATAGAAGAATGACTATGCACTAGACTTTATTCTTATAGGAAGGTAAAACAAAATCATTTTGATGATATAGAAGTAATGAGGAAAAGGATTTGTTATGTTTCCATATGTTCAGTTTAATTTAAGATTTCTAATTGAAGGGAAAAGTTTTTTGCCTGTTTACGAGAGACATCGTACTAGATGTTAACTTCTGATTTGAATGAATGTATATCTATTGATTCTACATTGTGTTTTAGTGAAAAATAAAAATAATTAAAATTTTTTGATTGAACTGTTGAATCTTTTTCGAAAATCCATTTTCAAGAAGTCTGCATGAGAATCCGGGTTTTGATCTGACAATTTGTATAGATAGAGATCTTAACTACAGTAGACTATGGTAGAAATTAGTGACCTAAAAAAGAAATTCTCTTTGGAATATAATATTTTTAAAAAATTGATATTCTATATATCATTAAGAGAAGAATGTTATATCTTGAAATCTAAAAATTGACAAGAGATTCATTTTAAAGCTTCTCAAATTTTCTGCATAAGTTAATTCAATTAATATCTCTATCTTCACAAAGTGTCAAATCAAAATTGGAATAGTCGATTTACTAGAAGTTGAAGTCTCTTCAAACGACTTTAACTGTTTCCTGATGGCTAATTAAGGAAAAGTTTGAATGTAGAGATCATCGGGAGAAGAAACGAACCAGATATGCAACCACAACCTATTAATTCAAGCAATAATAGCTTACCAGAGTAAATATTCGAAGATGTGAGTGTGGGTTTTGCCTTCGTCCATTGGTGTGAGCCAACTCATAGACAATTCACGCTCATAGCCACATCGATATTAGATCAATTAAGATCAATAATAATTTTATTGACTTGAAAGAATAGAATCATAGATCAAGTAAATAGATGAGGAAACGAATGAAACCAATCGGGACACACATACTTGTAAAAGTATGATCATAGATTTATATATAACAATGAAATAGGAAATCTCCAACAGATACTGAGAAGATATATTTTAACGAAAGAAAAACAATACACAAATAGTAATCAGTTGGGGAAAAACCAATGTACCACTATATAATAATAATGAGCAAAGCATTTATTAATTAGAGGAGATCTTCCACTATGGGTGAAGAGAAGTTTACATACTGAATCCGAGAATATACTGTTCCACGGTTTGATGAATCACCCATTGAGAGATTTATTAAGTAAACCGAAAGTAGTACATGCATTTAAAATTTATCCTAAAATCAAATATTTTTTGCAAATTATATTTGGACACAATTATTCTATTTATTCTCACATATCATATGTCCGAACTTATTGTTCGTCGGTTCTTTTTCTCTTTCAAATTAATCATAAGAATAAAACGAATAATTATTCTTTATCATTATTTTTGACTGAAATATTAGGATTTTGTCTCGTTAAATGTGATGAAAAATATCAAAAGAGTATCGTTGATCATTTTCATCTTTAACTCACAACTCAATATTTTTTCTTTGTTTTTTTCTCTCAGTAAAGCTATTCATGAGTAGGAAGAAAATACTATGACTCATTGTCATTGGTAATTTCCAATTGATTTTTTCATTACTCCTTGTCATTGGTAAGACAAAGGAATTAAGCACATTAATTAATACTATAAAGCAAACGATCGCTGTTTTATTTACATTTCGAAAACAAGTAACATAAAAGAAGACAAAAACCAGTAAGTGTTGTATTTATTTGAAACTGTGGACAATAAATAAAACTTTGGCTTTTGATGATTAGTTCATAGTATATATAATCTCTTTCGTTTTATTAGTCTAAATTGAATTATTATTTTACAAAAAATCGATGCAGTTGCAATTGCAACTGCCAATGGAAATCATAGCTCGAAGAAGAAATATGTGACTTTCTATCAATAACACATTGATTCTATATATTCTATATTCAATAACTCAGATAACTTTCGGTGCCACAATATCATCAGGTTGCTAATTATATATATAGTTAGATTTGAACACTTGCAAACTTACATTAGAATAGAATCGATATTTGAATGCATTTATCTTAATACAGAGGAAATAAAATGAATTATTGTACTTCGTATGAATGATAGTTTTAAAATTGAAAGTTCTCTAAGAAAATAAAAACAAAAGAAAATATAAAAGTTCAATTTATTGGTAAACTAGCGCAGAAAAGCAAATGATCTATAGCTTCGGTCTTCTTTTTCTATTTCAAAGAAAATCGATGAAATCATACTGATAATCGGTCAGACTAAAATAATAGTACAATTTATTGATTATGGACTTTTGACTTAATAAATGTCTTGTTTATTTAAATCGACATGGAAAAATGTGTCTTTTTTTCTCTAATACACTCATTGCATATGTGTATATATTTTGATAGTTATGCACAAGAAAGAGGAAAAATAAGAAATAAAAAAATAAAAACAAAACAAATTATGATAATCAAACCGAACCGACTAAATGGTATAGAATATGTGTCATCTTCAATGAGTCAATGTACATGTATAAACATGTCGCACAGTAAGGAGAAAAAACTTCGTTTTCTTTCTACTAGTGATGAGCCAAAAATTTTACGTTAGAAACGAAAGAATGAAGAAACAAAGCTTTTACGACTATCACGTAAGTAAGACGTCATTTTTCTTTTCTTCTGGTACGAAACTTCGAAATAAAGTTTAGCAATGACGAGTACTACATGCGTTATTTCATACAGGACGAAAAGAAAATGACTTCCTCCTTACTTGATAGTCATACGAAGTTTTATTTCCGTTTTTTTTTGCTTTTCTTGTTTGAGTTTCGGCCCAACACTATGAATCAATAATAGACTCATTTCGTAAATAAATGTAAAGATTTTACATTTCTATTACATATCTGTCATTCTGAGTAATAAGTCATATAAATAGATCTGTGTAATCACTTTCTCGTATATTACTCATTAGCAATAAAATCTAAAAATTTCATAAAGGATTTAATATGATCTATTCTTTTGTTTTATCTTAGATTTTAGTGGATAAACTTCATTTATCATACATTTTCTTGTTATGGGAAATTCATTAATAATAAAAGAACGAAATAAAAACAACAATGAAGAAATTACTTTGATATGGTTGGATTGCAAAATGAATGCAGTCGATCATGTAGATGACACCAAGAAACGATTGTATTATATTAATGATTATGTTGTATTTTTTACTGAACTAGAATCTTGTATTAAATATATGGAGTCGATTCATAATGAAAAAATCTTGTTGATCTCCTCCATTTCTGATATAACACAAATACTAACTCAGATTGAAAATTTATCTCAAATTGATAGCATTTTTATTTTCAATTGGGAACAAAAATTTAATGATTGCCCGATTTTAAAACATTCAAAAATCATTGGTATTTTTAATGATTTCGATATGTTATCGGTTTCGATTGAAAAACAAATAGAATTTCTCAATGAAAATTTTCAAACCTTTAGTTTTTTTGATCAAAATGAACATTTTATAAAAGACTTATCAAAACATACAGCTGATCTTCTCTGGTATCAACTTTATCATGATGTGTTGTGTCAGTCAACATACATTACTGAAGATGCTTTACAAACAATGATTCACGAATATCGTTCATCGTATCGAGAAAATAGTAAAGCTATTGAAACAATTGAAAATTTTGCAAGGGAATATCGACCTGATGATGCTTTACAATGGTACTTGAAAAAAACATTTCTCTATAGAATGATAAACAAAGCATTAAAAGTCAAAGATATTGATCAATTGCATGTACTAAGGTGTTTTATGAAAGATCTAACACAATGTTTTATTCGTGAACATCGAAAATTGATTGAGACAGGCAAAGAAAAACTCATTGTCTATCGAGGAATGAAATTATCGAGAGATCAGATTGGAAAATTTACAGAGAATCTTGGTCAACTCATTTCAACTAATGGTATTTTAATCACAACTAGTGATCGTTTAACCGCATTGAATCAAGTAATATCCAATCAAAAAAACGCAAATCTTTGTTCTATTCTATTGGAAATCGAATGTGATTTGTTACATATTAATGGTATTGATATTATTGCTGATCTAGAGGAAGAGTATCAAATGATTTTGTTCAATTCAAATGCTACTTTTCGATTGGTTAACGTAAAAATGAACGAAGAAATTACTTTAATTCAACTCACTCTATCAAATGAAAGTCAAACAATAAAAGAAAAATATATAAATGATTCTCGTCGTCGAATAGCCAACATTAGTCTTGATATTCTGTTTGGTCAATTAATGTGTGATATGGGCTTGTGGAATGAATCACAACATTACCTAGAATATTTATTGAATAGTTCACAATTGAAAAATGAAGATCTCATACGGATTGAATATAGTCTTGGCGATGTTTATCAATGGAAAGCCGAATGGTACGATGCACGAAAACATTATGATCGTGCTTATGCTATAATAAAAAATGTTCAGCCTAAAAATATCAAAGAATCAGTTTATGTGCTCTGGAATATTGGCAACATCGCCTGTAAAGAAGGGAAATATGAAGAGGCTTATGATTATTATAGAAGAGCATTGTCATTTCTAAAGTCAAATAATACATCTACAACAACACGTAGAGTTCTTTTGTTACATGATCCATTCAATTCTATATTAAGTCATATTCATCGTAGGTTCAGATTGATATTTAGCAATATATTTGGATTCATCCAGTCGACGTCTATCTGGTTTAGGACTAGAACATGGTCGAAATTTGTTAATTTATTACGCAGAAAACAAGAAACGAGGAATGTTGAATTTGTTAGTGAACTACCGAACAAAATGAAGTTTGACGAAATATGTCGGGAAGTATTAGACTATGATTGGCAACAGTGGTGTCTAGCTAATATGAACAGTTCAGTTCTCATCGGTGCTATTCTTCGAAGTCTTGGAAGAATCTTGAATGAGCAGTGTAGATACAAAGAAGCACTCCTCGTTCATCAACAAGCACTGACAATTTTCGAACAATTTTATCAATCTCCACACATTGAGATTGGTTCGAGTCTATACTGTATTGGTACAGTTTTTCAATTTCAGAAAAAGAATGAGGAAGCTCTTGATTTCTGTGAACGAGCCATGTCCATTTTTAAAAGATATTATCCAAATGGTCATCTATACAATGCTCAAAATCTCAACAGCATTGGTCATGTTTTTTATAGTCAAATAAAAGATAATGAATCTGAAAATAAATATCGACAAGCATTAGCAATGATGACAAAATACTATTCGTCAGGTCATATTAGTACAACTGAGAGTCTTAGTGGAATAGGAAATATTCGCTGTCGACAAGGAAGATACGATGAAGCATTGATATTTTATCAACAAGTGTTGAATATTCTCAAAAAATATCACTCATCTGGTCATATGAGCACCATCATTCTTTTGAACAAGATTGGTTATACAAAAAAGCAAGAAGGAAAGTATGATGAGTCTCTTGAATTTCATCGCAGAGCATTAGATATGCAACAGAAATATTATCCATCTTATTATGCTGCATTAGCTAACACTTTCAATGTCATAGGAAATGTACTAGAATGTACATTAAAATACAATGAAGCATTGGATTATTTTAAGCAAGCATTCAACATGCAAATGAACTATTATCCGTCAGGTGATAGTTCGATGGCGGCAAGTCTCAATAATATCGGCAATGTTCTTTTTTACCAAAAGCATTACAATGATGCTTTGAGTTATTATCAACAAACACTGACAATTTTCCAAACACATGCACCATACGCTAGCAATTCTGTAGCTTTTTGTATGAATAATATTGGAATCACTCTATGTAAGCAACAGAAATATGCTGAAGCTCTTGAATATCATCAGAAAGCCCTTGATACACTAGAAAATAATTTTTCGTTGTACCAAACTAGTATAGCGAACAGTCTTAGTTACATTGGCGATCTTATGATCGAAGAGAAAAAATACAGTGAAGCCCTCGACTATTATCGAAAAGCGTTAACATTACTAGAAAACTATCTGACTTCTCCACATATTAATATAGTTGATATTCTCAATCGTATTGGTAATGTCTTATACCATCAACGGAAATATGACGAAGCCATTGAGTTTTATCAACGGTCATTATCGACTCGAGAGCAACTTAATTCACTTCGTAGTATTGATATGGCGACTGTTCTTAACAATATAGGGCATACCTTATATAAGAAAGTGGATTACGATGGAGCTCTTGAATATTATCGAAGAGCCTTAGTTATTCAAGAAAAATATTATAAATCACCACATATCTATATTGCAAAGAGCCTTAACAGAATCGGTGTTGCGTTATACAGTCAGAAGAAATACGATGAAGCACTGGAATTTTATCAACAATCATTATCTATTCGAGAGAAACTAGATTTACTTGATAGTATTGGTTCGGCAACTGTTCTTATCAATATCGGGCGTGCCCTATATGAGAAAGCGGATTACGATGGAGTTCTTGAATATTATCGAAGAGCCTTAGTTATTCAAGAAAAATATTATCAATCACCACATATCGATATTGCACATAACTTTAACAGTATCGGTGTTACGTTACACGCTCAGAAGAAATACAATGAAGCGATCGAGTTTTACGAAAAATCACTGTCTATTCGTGAAATATTATATCGATTGGGTAGTATTGATACCGCTGTTGTTCTAAGTAATATAGGTCTTGCTAAGTATCAAACGTATGATGATGATGGAGCTCTAAATTTCTACCGTCGATCATTAACATACTATAAGAAATATGCATCAAATTGTTCGGATATTATTACATGTTTGGATAGGATAATTTTAATTTTAAAAGATCAAAGGAAATATGATGAAATTGTGGATACTCAAAAAGAAAAATTGACAATTCTTCAAAGCAACATACCTATCGATCAAATGAAAGTTGCGAAATGTTTGAATGACATTGGTATCACTTTATTTGAGCAAATGCAGTTTGATCCATCGATCGACTTTTATCAACAAGAATTGACCATACTGGAAGAACATTACCCATATGATCATGTGAATATAGGTGTTTGCCTATCATGGCTCGTTGCTAACTTGCATAGAAAGGCTGAGTATGATCGTGCTGTTGAATGTTTACAAAGATGGCTGCAAATCACGGAAGCTAGTCTACCTGTTCATGAGCTTTGCATACATGAAGTGTTCAATTGGTTGCGATTGATATCAAGGAATAGAGGGCAACATGAGCTATCCCTTATCTATGAACGAAATCATTTGTTCATGTGTCTGCAACATCTACCACCAGATCATGAATGCATTGGTGATAGGTTTTCAGCTATAGGCGAAATTTACGAAAATCTTCATCAACCGAATTTCGCATTGGATTTCTATAAACAAGCATTTCTAATATACAAGAAATGCTTGTTCTTATTAGATCTTCGCCTATTGGTGACGATATGGAATATCGAACGACTGTCGGAAGAGCTTGGTATACAATCCGATGAACTAAATGAATCTGAGTTTTTATAATGCATAAAATGAATCGTGACAATGCTTTCATCTATTGAATTTTTATCGAGTAAATCTATTGCATAAAGGTGAAATTCATTCTGAAGTTGATAGGCGCAAAGTAAAATAAGATACATTTTTGTAAAGTATCTTATCCAATATTTAGCGGGTGGGTGTGGGTGTGGATGTTTAGTGTTCTTCAACCAGCACTCACACCCTAGAATCCAATGTTGATTGTTTTAAACTTTGTCTTATACAATATAATTAAATAAGACAAGATCACTGGTTCAAAATGTCAATTAATAAGGAATATTGTTTGTGTAACATATTTTCTTAGAAGAGTAACACATTTGAGTATTTTGTTTTCACGGCTTCTTTTACCTTTTTTTTCAATCATTAAGAAAGAAACTTTTGATCTAACATTGCTTATTTGTTGTTCAATAAAATATTTAATCATGGTCCTTTCTTTTTCTCAAGGTATATCGGCGTGTTTGTTTTGTTATTTTTATTTATACAATTAGATTTGAATGTTAGTGGTACCAATGACGGATACTATCCATCTCTTCTTGAGAACATTCTCTTTTAATTTATTATATAAGATAAGCTGCCCATGATCAAATCTTCAATCAGGTAACTCAACACTTGGTAGAAGCATGTATCAATCAGATTCGGCTGTTACACGTGTAATTGGCGCTAGAAATCGAAATAGACCATACAGGATGTGGGAGTGTGAGTATGAGTGCCTGTTGGTTAGAAAGCATAAAGAGATATGCATATCCACGCCCACACGGACCCTACATTTTATTTGAAACAATCATTGAAAAGAAACATCTGAGAAGACAATCATGTGTTGAGTACATACGTCCAGGAAATTTCATTTTTCTTCGTCAGAGTAACACAGAAGAGCTTAACTTCAAAATATATCATCAATTAGTCCATCAAAAACTGTATAACATATAATATGAAAGAAAGTCTTTAGAAAATTGTTGCCAAAAGAATTCACTTTTGTTTGATGAAATTAGTGGAAAAATACAAGCACTGTTCTTTCCTTCTTGAACTTATTTTCTATTTATTTTGGAACTCTTCTTTTCTCGCAATAATTTACATTGATAGATAAATCATTTCTCTAAAAAGTGGCAAAGAATTCGATTTCAAAATAACAGAGTTCGAAAGGACGAGAGTCTTTTTCTTAACTAGCATGGCTTCGAAGAGACAGAAATACATATTTGATTCATATGTCGAACTTCTTTCTTCTCTTTGCTAAGAAGATATCAATATCTTTTTACCGCATTGTAAAGTTGTCCAGTAGAGATTTTGGGCTATCAAATCACTTGAAAAGCAATGTCCTAGGTCCTTTCCTATTCAACCAGCGAAGAAATGGCTACATCTTATGACTTGAACATATTTCACTGTCTTCAGTGACGTGCTCTTCAAGAAAAAGACTCTGGTTGTTTCGAACTCTGCTACGTTCAAACAGCATTCTTAGCCTTTTTTCTAGAGAATTAATTTCTCTACAAATGACCATTATGGTGAGAAAATAAGAGTTCCACTATAAAGTGAATTGAGTCAGAGAAGAAAAAGACAATGTGAATATTTCCATGAGAGTCATCAAACAATAGACAATTGTTTTTGAAGACAGTTTTGGAATATTTTTCTTTAATATTTTACGTTCTACGATTTTTGATGTTCTTATTGATGATTTATTTCGAATTTAAGTTCTCTTTGTTACTGCGATGATGAAAAATGAAATTTCCTGAAGTCTTCTACTCGATATATGACGGTCTTCTTAGATGATTCTTTTTAATGATTATTTCAAATAAAACGTAGCCCATTTTGTAGAACGTCAGTTGATCTATCGAATGGAGAATGTTCGCATCTACTAGATCATGTATCAATAAACATGAAATGTGGTAAGAAAAAGATCAATGTCGATATTTCATCAACTCATAAAAAAGCACTATTTTACGAGAGAAAGAAAATCGCCAAAATTCAAATAATGATCTAAGAATCTGAATTTTATAAGAAATGCACAGCAAAGTAAAGATAAGTTCATGATGAAATCAAAAATTTCTTAGCAGATATCTTTGGATAGTCATATCGATACAATGCATAATTTTCAAGATGGTTGATAAATTTCTGAAAGACAATGTATTAGTTGAAAAACTACTTTACTTTGCTGATTTTGACTGTCTCAACTAAATGTTTCGCACCATTATCCGTGATATTACTTACAATGATCATTTCGGTGAGTCTCTATGTGTAAAATTAAATATTGAAATGAGATTAGTAAATTAATAGAAGAAAATTTGTTCTTCCTCTTATCTCCGATTGATCGTCAAAAAGAATATCAAACAAAGACAAAATACTCAAATGTGTTACTCTTCTAAGAAAATATGTTACACAAACAATA